AGCTGACTCTTTGAGAATTTTTGTCACTTGCTAAACGTTTTAACAAAATTTTTTCATTTTCCCACAAAAGGATAAACCAGTATGTTCATACTGAACCTTCTACTACTTAAAAATAAATAAGTCAATATACAGTAACCTACTCATGCGAATGTGAATTAATAGAATAGCAGTGATGTGATAGGTGTGGTGATCTAACAATCACTGTAATAATTGCAGTATGGCCAGTGGAGAGATATAGTGTGTTTATTTGAAGTAGACCAACTGATATAGTTGTGCCCTCCCCCCCCCCCAAAAAAAAAAAAAAAAAAAGAGGAGAGGAGAGGAGAGAAAAAGAAGTTCCAGGATGCAGGAGCCATTCTTTATATCTGAAGCCCAGAGAAAGAATTAATGAACTAGAACTGAGTGAAGTGTTGGAAAATGACTGAGAAGATATTTATGTTTGCAACTGAAAGGTGAAAGATTTCCTGAATCTCTTCGGTTTCTTTTGCACTAATTTTGTGCGAGTACAGAGTACTCAGCAGCCTATTTGAGGCATCTTTCAGCTTACAGAGATTCTTTAACGTTACTTGAAATCTGTTTTTCAGGAGCGTGTGGATTGTTACCCAGATGTTCGCATAATCTTGAAAAATCCAACAAACGTGTCGTGTCAGGCCTGTGAAATGAATCGGTATTGTAAGTTTAACGTGCTGCTCTCTGGAAAGCTTTATAATAGCAGAACTATGGAAGCAGATGACTTCATGTCAGATGACAAGCAGGTAACTTCAAACAAGCAGCCTATAGAATTATTTTTAAGCTTTGTCTAGTGTTACAGAAAATCATACAAAGAACAGAAATCTTATCCACACATCTAATGTCTGTAATGCTAGAGGCAAGAGTTAAGCTACTGTACTTCCATGTATAAACCAAACTGATTTTTAAAATTTGAAGACCATTTTGCAGTTTGAAGGAGTATAGCCTTAGTTGTAGCTAGGAATTATGAAGAAAGTTCCTACGAAACTTAAAAGGATCAATAGAGGCATTGCCCTCCACCCTCCCCCTATCCTTTCTTATATGTTGGGAAAAAGGTAATGAAAAGTATCCTCAAATAAAACTAACTTTTATCAAGCAAATGAATCTGATATTTTTCTGTGACCTTTGTTTTTGCCTGCATCACAGTCATCAGTGGTGCTGTTTTCTCTGCACCTTTGCCACCTAATATTAGTACCTGATGCAGCACAGGTACTCGCACTGCAGTAAACGTAAGTAAGCATACCCAACCATGAGCTGGACTTTGTGGTAAAAAAAATAAAAGGCTCTAAGACATACGATAGGATTTATTGATATCTCTCGCCTTCAAGTAAAAATTGACATTTGCCTCAATTTTTCCTCTGCTTCCAATCTCTACAGTCCAAATCTCATCCAGGACAAGAAGGAAACTCTAGGTACATGGCATCCTACACACCCTCTCGGCATGCTGGTCTTTGGTGGTGCATGGGGAGGCAGTCTGAAACTGCGTGTCAGAGAGGCTGAAAACACACACGAAGATTCACATACTAACCGAAGTTCTAATACAAGCACTCAGATGTTTCTAAAGAAGCTTTTGGTTTTGTCAGAGAACATTTAATACAAGATTGAAAATCCTAAAGCAGATGCATATCTTGAAGAAAGGAAAACCAGTGGTAAAGAAATTACACGACTGAGCGATACTCTGAACA